GCAATTATTATCGAAATCTGCAAATTTTTGGGTTAATTGAGGACTAAATGTGTCTAATATTACATTAAAATCAGGGATAATAATAGAGAGGCATATGTAAAGGTAATCATTAAATCAATAAATCATTTAAAAGTAATTATTTAAATCGCTTAAAACTATTGAGATCTCAAATTTTGGTCACAAGAGTATTAGCCGACCATTTAGTAAATTTATGAGATTATAGTATATAGTGCTATAAGACACCAACAGTTTAAATGATTTTAAATAATCGGGTTTTCAAACAAAATCCATTAGTTAACTATTATATCAGAAAGTCTAAAATATAGATTTAGTATTTATTAATGTATTAATCGGATTATCAAAGAGATTGTAAATAACAATTAAAAGTCAATTCAGTAACAAAACAATTATGGTTTTTAAAACACACATTAAAAAGGCACAAATAAACCATTAGTGGATACCGGGGCGATTGGAAAACACCATATTTTGGGCACACAATTGAGTCAGTTATGCGGCAAACAGCTTAATAGCGGGGCGTTAAGCGGACTCACCGGCGGCTGAACTGAATGAGCCGTTCGTTACATTTAAGTCATGACCGGAATGGCTGTCCGACGTCATAGTCAGACAAGCTCTGGCCTGTTCAGAGTAGAGAGCGCTTCGGTATCTATAATTGTCTCTTGACATATCTGCAGTAGTAGTTAACGGGAAGGTAGTGTCGGTATCGGGTTTGTCGTAAGAGTTTGAAACTTTTGTTGTTTCACACAATTGATAAGAAATTTATTAATAAACAAAATATAATCAAATAAATAAAAACTAGTGATAACTGAGTGGACAGATAGACAAACAGAAGGTAACGGGAGAGATACTCACTGTTAAAGTCGTCGGAATAGTATGCGCTGACCGGTCGACGCCGGGAGCTCTGGTTTTCGTCCGATTGGCGATTGGGTGTCGCGAACAGCATTGTCTGACTGCGACCGCAGCCGAGCGCCGGTAGGTCCAGGTCTAGAGTACGGGGCGTTGAGCTGCCGAACACGAAACTCGTGTTATTTCGTTGGGCCAGTCGTTTGGCCTCCAATTTGTTATCCCTGTCCAGACTCCGGCGTAACATCGCTTCCTTGCGCTCCTAATTAGACA